ATACATATATATCATGTATAGATATATCTATATGTTTATATCATGTATACATGCATATATATCGAACCACTGTACTCCAGCCTGGGCAACAGAGCAAGATCCTGTCCCCAAAATATATATATATCACAGCTCACTGCAGCCCTGAACTCCTGGGCTCAAGCGATCCTCCTGCCTCAGCCTCCTGAGTAGCTGGGACTACAGGTGGGCTAAGTTTTAAATTTTTTGTATAGATGGAATCTCGCTCAGTTGCCCAGGCTGGTCTTGAACTTCTGGCCTCAAGTGATCCTCCCACCTGGGCCTCCCAAAGTGTTGGGATTACAGGTGTGAGCCACCACGCCCAGCCTAAACTATATTTCTATTTCTGTCAGTACTGCCTGGCATAAGTTTGTGAAATGACCTGGGTACCTTTCCTCCCTTCCTGTTCTCTGGCAGTGTCAGCAAAAACCTGGAGTTACCTCTACAGTCACCTGGCCTGGTGCTTGGCAACACACTAAAACGTGGTCCCAGGAGTGGGCGTGGGTTACGGCACCAAGGCTGTGTCTGAGTGGGGTGCTTTCTGGCCACCGTCCGCAAAACCAGCCTCCAGAAGGCCGAGGGCAGCAGTTACCAGGCTGCGTGGTTGGAGGGATGGCCGGGGCGGGCGCTGGGGCCGGGGGTGGAGCAGGAGGCGGTGGCGTGGCCTTGACTTCGGCTTCCATTTGGGGCATCGGGATCTGCTGCTGCTGTTGCTGCTGCTGTTGCTGCTGCTGCTGCTGCGCGAGGCTGCTGACGAACTCCTCGTGCTGCGTCTTGAGCGTCTGGATCTGCTGCTGGAACGCCAGCTGCACCGGCTGCACCACCGAGGCGTACTCGGTGATCAGGGTTGCCTGGCAGAGACAACAGCGCCCAGCACTCAGGAGCGGTCCCCCCCATTCTGGAACAACATGGGGACAAATGCCTGCAAAGCAGCAGAGCCCAGGGCACCCGGGGCAGGCAGGCAGGTGGCTGTCACATACAGCCATCAACCCAGTCTTGACAACCACAGGCTGTGTGGGATCCGGCCAGAGACCTGGTGACAGGGATGAATCTCTGATAACAGGGACAACGACAGCCGTGTCCTGGTCCACTGCGTGAACACTAAAAACACACCGTGGACAAACACTCCCAGACACGCTCGTGGGCTCTGCCTCCGAGTCACCACACGGCTTTGATCAAGTCACTATGTCCCTGAGCCTCAGTTTCCTCGCCTGCAAAACAGGGCAATAACTGATCCTACCTCCCAGGGCTCTGGGAAGAAGCCAGTGGGACACCACACGGAGGGAACTCGGGGGACGGCAGCTCAGTAAGCAAGAGCTGCTGTCAACAACTCAAGAGGAAAAGTCCACCCAGCTGTGGCGTGATGGGATGATTCCACGTTTACTTAAAAAGCAAAACATTAGAAAGGGTATGCAGTGGCTTTCCTCATTGGCCTTTCTGCCTATGGAAACCTCTCCTCCACGGGGAGGGTTTAGGATGGTCCCAAAGGGAACAGCCAACGTGTAGCTTCCGGCATCCAAAGCAGTACTTGGCAGGAAGACCACAGCCTTCCCCCAACGGAGGGGAGGGGATGTGGCCTGTGCATTTCTAACAGCTGTAGACGGGACAGCAAGGCTGGTGCCACTTTGGAGATGACCAAGAGACCTGTCCCCTCTGTGCCCTGGGCTCCGCTCAGCCCCTCCTCTATGGAAGCAGACGTGCCCTCAGAGAGCAGGCAGAGGACCCACGTGACAACTATGGCAGCCTAGACCACACCAAGGTCTCTTGAAACTCCCAGCACGCAGAGCGTGCCTGGATGACCAGAGAAACAGGATGAAGAGCTCACAGAGCAGTGACTCCATCAGGCAACCCGCCTACAATGTGCCAGGCAAGTCAGGGGGGCACACCTGGGAGCCCAGGCTGGAAAATGTCACCTGGGACTCTCTGACCACCTACCAGGCATTCCCAGCACAGGCAGGGGACACAGGCTCTCTGGCTCCGGGAATGTGCTGGGGAGGCACCTGCTGTCCCCACACTCCCACCCGTCCTGAGGTACCTGTGCTCGCTGTGGGGAGAGGTGTGGGCAAGCGGGAGACACTCACCTGGTACTGGCCGAGCCCCAGGGCTGGGCTCTGCAGCTGCTGAATGATCGAGTCATCGAAGTAGCCGTTTTTCTCCCAAAGCTGCAGGAGCTGTGTGCAGAGGGGAGACACTGTGTCAGGGGAGGGGAGGCCCCTGTGGCCCAGCCCCTGCCCCGCCTCCTCCCGCCTCTGCGGGCCCCACGCACCCGGGCAATCTTCTGCTGCTTGTCCTCTTCCACAGCCAAGAAGCTGGTGCAGTATATGGGCACCACGACCTTCTGCAGGGCGGCCAGCAGCTCCCGGGCCTGCTTGCGCTGGCTGTGAGGGAGAGACCTTCCGCGCGTCAGGGCCCTGGGGCGGGACCCGGCCACGCGCCCGTTACCATCGCGGCTCCGGCCACAGCACCCTCTGCCTTCTCGGGAATTGGGCCCCCAACCCGGCTGCGGTGATGGCTGGGCTCCCACGAGACCTGTGCTGGCGCCTGGACTTGAGGGCTCGGGGGAGGGACAGACAGATAGCGAGGGGAGGGAGAGGATGCATCCTGAGGGCATTCTGAGCAAGGCCTTTTATCCTCCTGGTTCCCCTGTCAATAAAATAACTTTCCCTCCCAGGATGGCACGAGGAGGGGGGGACCAGGGCTATAAGAGCCCCTGCGTGTGCACGAAGCACGGAATGGGCTGCGGTGGGGCCGGGGCTCGTCTGTGACACCTCCTAAGCACAAAGAATCCTCGGCTGGGGCTGGGCCTCTCAGGGGGAAGGAGGAGTGTGCCCAGTCCCTCGGGCATCTGGAATGCTTTAGACGAGGGACTGTGTGCTCCACACGCAAGGCAGCTGGCCCACGTCCCCTCAGGGCCGCTGTGCAGAGCTGCTCGGGGGCACTTGGTGCATAATTGGCCTGTGAGGGCCTCTGCAGCTGTCGGTGAGGCGGCAGGGCCATGACAGCATGTCTGCTGTCCCCTCGGTGGGGACGCAGGGTGGAAGATGACTGGTTGGAACCGTTCCCAACCCTGAACTCGCCAGAGGGAGCCCAGACAGAGGAGCAGGGGCCAGGGCCCTTGCCGCGGGGAGGCAGGGCAGTAGGGAGGATGGGGGAGCAGCAGGCTGCTTTGGACAGAGCTGGGCTACAGGGGGCGTCGGTAGGGAATGCGGAGAGCAGGTGGATCTCGGCAGAGGGGAGTGGGGCTGCTAGGAGGAGAAGGAGGGCGCAGGCGCTAAGTGGCAGCTCGTTTCCCAGCAGGAGAGAAACAGGACAGATGCAGGGAGTGGCTGAGTGGACCTGGGGAGGGGAGGGGACCCGGGCTAAGCTTCCTGTGACAGAAGACAGGGGAAGACGTGGGGTGGACAGGGCCCGGCCAGCCCCTCTTGGGAGCCACATCCCTAACCAGGCCATCCCCGGACAGCCAGGTTGAGCTCAAAGGCACACGTGGCAGCTGGGCTGACGTGCGGTGTTTCCTCCTGCTTTGGCCCAGGGTTCTGGTTGCTGTTGTTAGCCCCGTGGCCACCCAGAAGGAAACAGTGACCCAGCCTTGGGCTGGCAATGGTGGGAGGGAGCTGAAGCCTGGGTGGGGACAGAGGGTCGGCAAAGGCGGCCCCTAGAATGGGGTCAGGACTGAAGAAGGGGACATCGCAGGAGGGTCCCGATAGCAGAGTCAGGCGATAGCTTGTGGGTGGGTGGGCAGATCAGAGAAAGGGAGCCGGCAATGGACACAGAGGCAGCAAGGAGGTGGCAGAGCCTGAGGCCCAGCTTGCTGAGCGATGCCCAGGAGAGCAAGGTGTGGAGGGGACAGTGGCCCTAGGGAGATGACGATGTCACAGCTGAGGTCAGGGGTGTCGGGGAGAGGCCGGGGCGTGGGGTGAGGGTAGGTGAGGCGCTGAGACTAACCTTAGTCCTGCAGGCAGAGGGCTCGTGGCTCAGAGAGACCCTCCCCCAGGTGTTTTGGACAAGTGACCCCCTAGTCCCAGGACAGGCCAAGCCAAGCTACTGTGAGCAGCCGCCCAGGTGAGGGGTATGAGGGAAGTGGGGCCTCTGGGGCCGTGGCGGGTGGCGCTGCTCACCAGTGGTGCAGCACGTCGTTGATCAGGTAGATGAGGTGCAGCCGCAGCTCGAAGTGCGCCCCGTCGGCCGTGATGCGGTTCCGAAGGTGGCCCGCCATCAGCTCGCAGTGTGGCGGGGACTTGGCATTGCTGAACATCCAGTTCTTCCCGGCCTGGAACAGCCAGGCCGATGGTGAGTGTAGTGGGGGACACCCCCTGCACCCCTGAGCACGTGTCACCATCGACCCAGGGTACACCACAAGGGCGTGGAGCACGGGGCCTTGAAGCCTAAGGAGAGTGCTCAAGGAGAGAGAGAAAGTGCTCCTCGGAGCAGCCCGGCCCAGACGGGCTGGCAGCCCCTGCCCGGGAGCAGCCCTGCCCCCCCCAACCCCTCGGCCACCCGCACCGAGATGGCGTCCTTGGTGCACGTGTCAATGATGGGCTGCAGCAGGTTGTCGAACTCGTTCATGTCCAGCTGGGTCTCCTCCAGGAGCTTCTGCATCTGCTGCTCTATCGCGTGGGCCACGGCTGCTGTCACCTGTTCCTGGGAGGTCAGGCGAGATGGAGATGGCATGAGCAGGGACCCTCAGCACAGGCCCAGTAGGGGTAGGGTGGGGAAAGGACGAGGACGCCAGGCTCTGAGCTGCTCTGGCCCTTGGCTCCCTGGCCCGTTTCCAGCACGAGGAGATCCTGTCCCTCACAGCAGCCACGAACCTGTGACAGCCCATCCTGAGAGTGCACAGAGGATAAGGCCGGACAAGACATCTGGGAGACAGTGTCTGCCCTCCAGGTAACAGAGGAAAAGAGTGTGGCCCAGAGGAACAAGGAAGCTCTGCAAACCAGTTAAACAAAATACAAGGACAACTGAGTGATGGTGTGAACAGGTAACACAGAGAAGACACACATGCGGCCACCAGAGAAGCAAGGGAGCAACCTCGTGCACCATCGGGGACCCCAAGGTAGGGCGCGAGCTGGGGTCTTGCCCATCTGATTGCTACAACTGAGCCACCGTGGGGCCAGGCAGTCGGTGTAGGGCCGGCCTGCCCAGCGTGGCCAGCTCGGGGTGGAAACCCAGGGTGAGCCTTCCAGAATGTTTGGTTGGCAGCAACATGATGGAGCAACTTTATGTCTTGAACCTAGCAGTACAACTGGGGCTGTCATTCTGGAGGTCTGGTATTTTAGTTATCTGCAACGCATCCTTGTTGTATCTGGCAAAAGTATCAGACTGACGGATCCGAATGGAAGGGTCCTTCCCCACCAACGGCTTAGGGTGTCCTAGCTACCAGGTGACAGGGTCAACGGCAAGCACCAGAGGCCACCTGGCAGCACCTGTTACACAATTACAAATGGGCACACTTGACCCACAACCCCACGTGGAGGTATCCACCCCAGGGTGACAGCTGTGCATGTGTCTGGAGAGCACGTGCAATGACTTCACTGGGTTGAGAAGCAGCCTCAGAGTCCAGCGTCAGGGCTAGGGTGACAGGCCCTGTCCTCAGCACTAAGCATGGTAATGAGTCCTCGCAACAGCTGCTACCCACTCTGATTGCAGACGCAGCAACGGAGGCACAGGCTGAGTTCCTGGTACCCCCTTAGGGCCGAGAGGGGCGAGGGCAGCAGGGCCTCCCTACCTGTCTGAGGGCCAGCAGGTGCTGCTCCTGCTGCTGCAGGTTCCACTGGCTCTGCTGGATCAGCTCGTCCATGGACGGCGTGCCCTGGGCCAGCGGGGGCTGCGGCAGGGGCGGCATGGCTGCGGCCGGCTCCAGCTCTGGCGCCTGCTGCTTGCAGATGACTGGCAGGAGATAGGGGGCCCACCGTGAGCAGGTGGCCAGAGTCTAGATGTCCCCTCGGCACAGCTCTAGGCCAAAGGGGCCTCCTGGCCCCTCCAGACTCACCACCCACAAGAGGGCCTCTGTGCAGCCACACCCCTGCGTCCGCCCGGCTCCCCCGACCCTGGAGCCCAGCCCTCCTGCCTGCCCTCCTTTTCGCAGGTCTGTACCCTGCCCACGTCCTCACCCACGGGCCCTTCTGCCTGCGGGAGAACCGAGGAATGGTCACCACGCTTTCTTGCAACGCCCTCCAGTCCCTGCCCAGGGTCCTTTTGGCGCAAGCCTGAGCCCGCCCACCTCTGCACCTCACCCAGGCCCGAGCTGGTGTGGCCAGGGCTCCCTGAAGGCACCTCTCAGCCCCGGCCCCCAGGCTGCTCCCTCTCACCTCAGCCACTGCCCGATCTACCCGTTCGCTGTCAGGACATCACAGCTCCTGGGCCTCCGCACACCTGGCCAGCAAGCCACGAAGCTGCAGCCCTGAGCAGGCGGAGCACCCCAGGACCCCTGGGCACACGCTGCGGCCTCGCCCCGTCTTCCTGCTACTGACTCCGCTCGCGTCTCCAGCCCCTAGGGCCAGGGACCCTCCAAAGTCAGGGGTCCATACGGTCTGAGGCGGCAGTGAGACACCATTCTGACATCAAGAGCCCGGGTCGGGGTGGGTGCATGTCCCAGTTCTAGCTAGACGGGAGGGGAGGGGAGGTCTTTGGGGAAGGGACCCTGCACACAAGGAGCTCCTCGACAAGATGAGCCGCCTCCCTCTCCACCTTGGGGCCTCATCTAATCTGAATGTGACCATGAACCACACTGGAGGCCTCCTGAGGTCCCCTCCCCGCCCGCCCCATGGGGTGGAAGGTGCTGCCCACGGCCCACGGCTGGGCACCTGGTTACTGCTTAGTGCTGACCAGGCTTTGCAGTATGGCCTATAGGACGACCCCCAGCATGTGCACTGGTTCCCACCCCTCCTACCCGCCGAGGGACACTGCTCCTCGAATTCTGTGGTCTCTGTTCTTGCTCTCGTTTCTTCACTGTCTCCCTCTTCACCGACCCCTCCCAGGCAGCAACCAAACACACACGAGTCTTCTGGGCTTAAGACCTCTCCCTCAACCCTGCACCCCGCTCTCGACGATTCCACAGCCAAGTCGTCTTCGATTCTGTCTCCCCTTTCTCTCTACCCAGAGCAGGAGTCTGGCTTCTGCCCGCCCACCCGCCACCCCCAGTGCTGCCGAACACACCCTCACTCAGCCCTTCGGGCCTGTCTCAGGGCCTTGTCTCCCTCAGCTTCTGTGTGGCCACCCCCGGGTCCCTTCCTCCTTTTCCACCACCTTTGCTGTCCTCCCTCCTGTCTGACCCCCAGATGCTGGGTGCCTGGCCTGTGTTCTAAGCCCTTGTCCTCAGCTCTGTGCAACCCCCCAGGGAATGAGACACGTTCCTGGGACTGCAGTGAGCACCTGCATGCTACTGTTCCCAGGTACACTATCTCCATGCTGGAGTCCTTCAGCTATGGACCTAAGCAGTGACCACATGCCCCACTGTTTCCACAGGCACCCCAAACTCGCTTGCAATTACTCCTGCCCCATACTCCACATGCCCCCTGCTGGGATCCGTCCCGATCTGTGCGACTGACACAGCAATCCACCTAGATGACCGAGCCAGAGACCGAGAAGGGGCATGCACCTCACACTAACGAGCCATGCAGCGTTGTCCAGTCAGCCTCTGAGATCACACTTCAATCTGTGGCTGTCACCACCATGGCTCGGCTATCACCTGTGTCACCCCCAGAACCCGTACCCCCTTCGTCTTCTCCGATCAAGGCCGTCAGTACTTCCGCTCAGCGTGGCCCTCAGGCCAGCCCCGGGTGACAGACAGTTGTAGAATTGGCAAGTGAGAGTTTCAGCACTTTTACAGCAACTTGATGGTTCATGGTTCACATTTTTACCATGCTTCACAGAAGTGTTCATCCACAACAAATTCGCAATTTTTTTTTTTTTAATTGAGTCAAGAGTCTTGCTCTGTTGCTCGGGCTAGAATGCCGTGGCGTCAGCCTAGCTCACAGCAACCTCAAACTCCTGGGCTCAAGCGATCCTCCTGCCTCAGCCTCCTGAGTAGGTGGGGCTACAGGCATGTGCCACCATGCCCGGCTAATTTTTTCTATTTTTAGTACAGACGGGGTCTCACTCTTGCTCAGGCTGGTCTTGAACTCCTGACCTTGAGCCATCCTCCCGCCTCGGCCTCCCAGAGTGCTAGGATTACAGGCATGAGCCACCGCACCCGGCCCAAATCGGCGATTTTAAAAAACAAAAACTGGTCCTTTACCACAGAGCTTTCAAAGCTCCATTCCAGAACAGTCCCGAGGTTCAGTCTTCCCACATGACCAGGTTGAAGGGCCAGCTGCACTGTGGCCACCGCTGCTTCAAAACACAGACCCGAAATCTTTCAGGGGCTTCCCCTGAGCTTCCAGGATGAACTCCTGGCCCTGGGGCAAGCCAGCCCTCCCCTCTCTGCGTCCTCACTCTGGACACTCGAAGAATCCCTCCTATTCTGGGCTGCAGCCACCACCAGCTTGGGTGCCCCCTCCCTCCAAGGGCTCTTTACTCTGCATGGAACACTGTTCTCCCCTCATTTCCACCTGACACCAGCCAAGATATCAGCACCCAAAGAAAGCACTTCCTGGCCCCAATCTTCCCTTGCTGTAATCACCTTCTCCTTTCGCTATTATGGCACCGACTCCCAAGTGGCCCCCGATTTCTGACCCTCCAGGGTGGGAAAGGTGGGCGTGGGGTGCCCTCACAGGGAAGGCAGCCCTCGGCTCTGTCACTCAAGCCAAGGCACTGTCTGGGGCTTCTTCCTCCCCTGCCCCGTTATGGCACTATGTCATCGACACCCACCTGGTGCCTGAGTTCAAGGATTCTACCCCTTAACCTCACTTTCCCCCACGTCCATCTCCTCTGACTCAATCCCTGACTTAATCAGCCCCACCATCTCTCACCAGACCAACTGCCCCATTCATGCCCCCTGCTGGCCTCACTGCTCCCCAGGCTGGTTCCTCCAGCCTGTCCTCCATGCTGGCCACACAAACCCTCTTGTGGCTGCCCACTGCCTTTAACAGTGGTTTTAAACTTGGCATGCTGGGACTAAGGAAGGATTGCTCTAACGACACTTAAGCTGACCCCTTCCCCCAATCTCCAACCTAAACAGGCATCAGAAAAACCCCTGAGCTGAGGGAGAAAAACCAGACTTTCCCCTTTCCCCTAGCATTTGAAACTCTGGATTCAAACCTTCCTCTATACACGTATGTTCCTTTTTTTTTTTTT